TAGAAAAATACGACAAAATAGATCACGACTCGCAAGTGACCTTTTATTATTGCCCTCGTTCGAACAACCCCTTTTGTGAAAGGAAATTCGGTCTTCAGCCGCAGAATTACCGCCACTTTTGCGGCTCACGATCAAACAGTTGTGCGAGGCAGGGTCAATCGTTCGTTGATACAAGTATAAACAGGGGGGGGGGCGGTAAGGCTGATGGTAGTGGTGGCGAGAAGGCCTGGGAGGGAAAGGCGTAGTATTTTTGAAGGAATACGAGCGCTGAGGTTTACCCTGGTGCCATGGGGGATACTTACCAGGGAAGGCTTTCACCTTCCCATGGACTTCTGAATGGAGACTTAGGTTAATCGATTAATCAAGAATTGCTCACAATGTAGAGTTCAAAATTGGTACGTGAACTACGTGTACTTTCCATATAAGTTGTGAAAGGTCAAAATGGCTAGGAAATGCAGCGCCAGTACAGTGCGAGTTAATCTATCAACATCACCATTTTACTAAATTTCTTCCAAACCTCGCCTACCATTGTGAATAGATAGTCTGATCATAGATTGACAATTAGTTTTGATGCAGGGGAAATCTGGCGCCAAGTTTTGCGCCGCATTACTTTTTGCTGCGTTTGTAGCCAACCTTGACCGCTCCGAACTTACTCGGGAAAGCAGTTTTGGTCTCCATATTTATAATTACTTTTCCTGACCCTGTCGATTTAGGTCCTCATTCAAAGTCCCATGGGCAGATGATACCTATTCTGGATAAAGTTCTGGCCGCCTCAAAAGCTTCGATTGCAAAACTTCGCGGACGCATCGCTGTCTGCGTCTCGCTCGTCGCTATGCTCTTTGCCACGGCGTTCCTCTTTCGTAGTCCCGTTCACCACTCAAAAAACTTCGTTTTTTTGTTTACGGCGAGTCGTTTTCTTTCTTTACTAGCAAACCATTCCGCACTTTTGTTTTTGCGCTCAGCAGCCATACCGCAATCGTTCAACTTTAGTTTCTTACAGCCCGGCACATGCTAACTTTTTTCGCAAAGTTGTATATTGTTTTAGTGAGACTAACTTCCGAAATAGATTCATACTTGAATTCCAACACCGAAAAAACATAATGAAACGAACCTAACCTCACCACTACTGCATCCTTTTTTCGTCACCTTACAACACTTATCGCCCATTGCGCAGCCATTGGTTTCGGTGACCTTAAAGAACAGTGATTCTTTCTCTTACTTATTTTGGTTTAGCAACACTTACTTTCACATCGCCATTCTCCTTGACAGCGAAGCTATAAAATGCTTCTAAAATTGGTCGATATCCTGTACATCGACAGAGATTTCCTAAAAACGGTGGTTTTTCCTGGGTCCTCATATGGATGTTCTTCCATCGAAAAGAATAATTAGAATTTTACAAACTGAGGTGAAAATTTTTGCATGGTGAATCTCTTTTCACTCATATCAACTAATTGTACTACTGCATAAGATTCATGGAAACCACCCTGGTTGATGGTAGAAGCAACGGTCGAAGTCAATGTGATGTCGCACCGATGCTACTGAAATGGCTGCATAACTACAACCTCGCAAAATTTGTACGATAAATCTTGAATGAATGAAGGAGGGATGTGATATTTACTTTTTTCCTTCTATGAAAGAAAAGCTGGCTTGAGGGACTCGAGATGTGGAATTCAAGAGCAATGCTTCAACCGTTCTCCAGACAACCCTTGTCCCATGCCCCTCCGATAGGTACCCCTTGGCGGCTATTGGTCCATAACTCAACTCAAGCCGTTCAGAGAAAGGCAGAAGCCAGGAGTGTTCCACGTTGATGACACAGCACCAGTGAGACTCACCCAACGAAAAGAGTGGAAAACAAGGCTCCCCGTTTTGAGAGGTTAAAGGCCATCCCCCTCCATTACCACGTGAATGCTGTCATTCTTAGCAGCGCTACTAGTGCCCGACAGGCGACCACATGGTCGTACAACCTGCTTTTGAAGGCATCGCTAGCGATTAAATCCTCAGAGAAATTATCTCTTCGGGTAAGGTAGCAAATCATTAAAGGAAACGATTACGATAAAAAGGGAAGGCACTGGGGAAGTATATGGGGCACACGAAGCAATTACTTGAATAAAAGGGGGCTGGTTGCTGAGCAGGACTTCGAAAGCACTCCGCCCCAAAAGCGATCCGCCCACTAGTTTAGTTGGTGATTTGGACGAGCTGCGTTGCCAGCAGCGGCACAACTGGAGCAACTCGATTGGAGCGTGGTTTGGCATGGTGCCACCAAACGCGTTGCGATGAACTCGTTCATACGTCCGCTTTCTGAGCTGTTACCTGTTCATGAGTGAAAACCAACGGCCAAAAAGGGGATCTTTTCTGCCTCAATGACTTGGAAGTGAGCGATAAGGGAGCTGTTGCTTTCGCCTGACCGCTGCGACCGCTGCCACGCCTATCGATCGCAGCCTACGTGCTTCTGATCCCTCTTGTGTAGGGCGTGCTCTTTCACGTTCCTTGGCAAGGCTATGTATCGACGTCGCACCACGGTCAACCTTACAAGGAGAGTTTTGTGTGCTCTATGACTTTTTTCTTTTTTCTTGCTCCTAATCGTTCTTCTTGTCCGAGCACAACCCACCAGTTCGACCACGACCTTGTGTCTTTAGAAAAGTTTCTGTTGGGTCAAAATTATATCATTTGTGACGTGGTGAGTACTTCATTTCCGTCAAGAAACTAACAAGGAATTACGACGTTGCCCAACTCTTCGCAAATCGCTTTTTTGTGCGAAAGAACATCAGGAGCAAGTAGCCGAGTCAGGCTGAATATCACGAAGACAGCGTCTGAGCGCTTCCTTTTTCGCCTACCTTATTAGGTCTCCATAACAAGTAAGCCTTCATTGAGAAAAACAAGAAGTACATGTTTTGAATCTGGTCGATTAGACTCCTGATGTCAACTCCAATTAGCTGTTTGAAATGATCCTGGTGCCTTCTGCAACACTACACAACGCAATAACAGAAAATCGAAGACTGACCTTGAAGTGCCTCGTTCACTTCAGCAATGCTTGGCGTGGGGTTGTTTCGTAGCAAAGCGTACATGGCCATCACGAAACCTGGCGTGCAAAAGCCGCATTGGGACCCGTGGGTTCTGCAAAAAATTTGCAATCCAGATATCGCGGAAAAGAATCGTTAAGGAATGGGTGGATGTGCATACATTGCTAAACGTTCTTGTACCTGGATGTAATTTCTTGCTGACGGTCGAGCCCAGTCCTTCCACGGTGGTGACGGCTTTTCCAAACACCGCGCACACTGGCATCAGACAGGAATTGGCAGAGTAGTGCCTTAAATGAACTAATTATTCCTGATCAGATGCACAGATGAAGAAAAAAACGAAAAACGGCCTAAAACTCGAGAAATGGAACCCCTTTTGACCCGTTGATTTCCGCATTGGAGTAAGTCTCATCGGTATACTAAACGCTGCAAACGCCGCATCGCTCGGCATCTTTAGAGGGCCCCTTTCTTTCGACTGGCTATATTCTCCTTTTTCGACTCATACCCTTACCGTGAAGTTCTCTTAAGAGGTGTGCATACACTCATTAGATGGTAAACGCGATGTGCTCTAATTACCCTTGGTTCTTAAGTGAGCGCGTAAAAGCTCATCCAACACTGCTTTGTGTGGTTCATTGCTCTTGAAAATAAAAGTGTGTGTAATCATTCGGTTGAAAAATAACGAAGGGAATGAGCGAATTCTCAGAGAACCTTCGAAGCACACTGTTCAACCAAAATGATTGTACTCAATAATAAAAGTCGAGAGTAAATTGTATCGCTTGAGGAAAAGCGAAAAAAAAGTTACTAAATACACCTCGACGAGGCCTCTATGCAATCGATCTCTATCACTTCATTGTATATTTCGTTTTACTGACGTCAACTAACACAGGGCGTGAGCTACTGCTCCGCATCGGTGGAATCTTCGACAATCTCCAGGCCTCTGAAGAAGACGAAGCGGTCGAAACGTAAGGCCAGTAAATAAAGATTCCATCTTAAAAACCTCGTTTGGCACATACAGTACAAAAACAATTGCAGTACTTCATTGTATCTTTATGGGGTCACAGGCGGTGATACGAGCCACAAATCCTTGAGCCTCAGAGCCTTCCCTTGCAAATTCGTTCCAGCCACACACTACATTTCTCGAGTAGGACCTTCATTATACTGAGCTCATTGAGAAGTACGGACTCAACGGCACACTGTATGTGGATCGCATGAACGAGTATTGCTGCGTCCGCTTTAGTTGGACCCTCATCTCTACAGTATCCCCGATCTGAAGCAGCCGACCAATGAGAGGACTATGGTCTCCGCCCATCCGATCGTCGTAAAATGCACTTTTGAGAGTTTTTAGCAGTTTCTCTGTCACATGCCCGCTTTCATTCAGCAACAACCCACACCTGGCCAATCTCCCAGTGTGAATCAAAAGCGAAAAAAATACGTAGGCCCGTAGCTCAATTAGATTTTCTCACACTTTTATTTCAGTTGTTGTCTTCCAATTCTATTGTCACATTTTATATTACATTACCGTACTATTCGTTTATTTAATACGCCCCGTGTAGGCATTGCATGTCATGGAGCTTACCTTATTTCATTGTTTACAGGATTAATTTCGCTGATCATCACGGTGCAGGCCCCACATCCTCCTTCGTTGCAGCCGATTTTCGTCCCCGTCAGATGTACTGAAAGAACCACGTTGAGCATTGGGTTCATCTTTCGTGGACACTTTTCTTATATTTTTGATTTGCATTTGATTTATTGACAACTTTTTGTCGTAGTTCGCCATAGGAGTGGATGCCGGGTCATGAGAAAACCAATTCTCCGTTTGCGGGGATGTTTTCTTAGTGTACTAATCCTGATAAACCTATTGCACCTCTCGTCAAGGGCTGATCTTAATATGACAAAACTTCTAGACTGGTTTCGCTTGGTTCCCTTCCCACTATTGGAGTGAGCTCAGGTTGATCCGCCATTTCGATTCTTTCGTCGAAGATGCTCCAGCGCCTAGCATAATTCACATGGTGAGGAGGTGAACTGAGTTAAAGCAGGAACGGTTTCGCGGAGAAAACACCAATAATGATGGTTAGTGAAAACAACGACTTAATGTATGAAAAACTGGAAACGTCGGGGAGGGTCTTAGACAGGTACTCTCCCTCTGCCGCTCAGCAATGGATAAAGACGCACGTTGGACGAGTTGTCTGAACGTGCCCGCTGTAAACGCGCTCCATTTTTCAATCAATTTTCCCTGTGGTCCCAAAACGAGCACGATTGCCGACGCGTCCAATGACGGCCGGCAAGGGGGCGGGATTGGGGAAATCCCCAAGAACACCCATGTTTGAGGGACTTTCCACCCTGTTTTTGAGTTTCTGAGGTAAGTTCGTTTATTATTTCCACTGCATATGTTCTTCACTAGGGCTCGTGTATCCCTCAGTAGTAGTGGCATTGAAATTTTCGGACCCTCCCTGAACTGTTGCTTTAAAGCACAATTGAAGCAAACGAGGGGCGTGGTTGGTAACAAAAACGCCACTACTCTTCATATCTGAGAGAATATCGTATAGTAAGGCTAATGACTCTAGGAAGCAATCGGGCAGTTAACCGATTGAAGAAACCTATGTAGCAGCTTCACGCTAGAGCGATTACGGTAGGCTCACTGAGCTTGACAGTGGTAGCAGATAGGGTCATATTTTGATGATAAGGGACAGTTAAGGGAGATTTTCTCTGCTTACAGGAGGACATATAAGGGATATACTACCGTAAGGCTGCCATGATTGGCGGCGTCCTTGGTGACGGAAATTGGTGGTATGTGTCACGGCGAGTGACGATTTTTTGTCCCCTCGCCTACCTGCGCATTTGCCTTGGAATGATTAATAAAAATTGTTGATAGGCATTCTGAGAGTTATGAAAGAGATAAGACTGAAACTAAACAGTCAACCTACAGTGATCTCGAAGGTAAACGGCCAGAGTGGTCTTTGGATCGACCCGAGTCTCTTCTACTCGGTGACCATTTACGTAGAAAATCAATGTGTTATACCCGTACGAAGTGATGTCGTCTACATTTTTAGAAGTCACCATCTCTGAAAACAAACTTCTTCAATGAATAGGGCACAAATTTACCGTATGACGAGCAAAGAAAATGACGGCGTGAATTTCCAGAGCAATGAGTAAAGTGAGCTAGTTCCAGAAGAAATGGTTCAGAGCAACATAACGGGACTACCTGGAACGTTTTCTTAGTGAGAGCGCTCTTTAAAGAGTGTAGTTCTCCTCTCCTGTAAGTGTAGCTACTACTTAGCTCCTAGCCCCGCCTCCAAGTGAAGAAGGCATGGGGCAATAAAAATGCCATTTTGCATTCAGCAGCGAGAAATATCACGTAATACGCCACAGTAAGAAAGAACACGGTCTTGATTTCATGCCAGTGATCGGCTTCTAATCTGTGCCCTTATCAGACCTTCGAACATAAGCCACCTTAAACCTTCAGCGCCAACTATCTAGAGAAGCATCGCCTCGACGATTTTTTCACGCTTCGTTATCAGGACCTTTCCGTCAATTCAGCACAATCTGTCATACAGTCAGTTGTTTTTTGTGTGCCTTCTCCGGACATGATAGAACGCTAATTGAGAGGAATCCAGCCCTTCAGATAAAATAAAAAGGATAAAGCATTTGCCGTTGATCAATCCCTTTTTGGGATGCGGCACGCATTCTACTTCCATTTGTACATTCGTAGTGGCGTTTGAATGCGATGTGGCCTATACAATGACTTGCGGGGGCCAGCCGATGTACAAGTCAGTGTTTTTATCCTCCCAGACAAGTCTGGTACCAATTAACCGACCCCGGAGGGATGGAAGGCCCGGGCGACTCACGACCCAGGATTTGATCCCCGGACCGCTCGCGTGGTAAGCGTGCCACTTGCCACTACACCACTTCCCTAACTTCAGAATGCATAATTATTCAACACTATGGGATTACTGCGCACTTGCTGCACACCCATTCTCGCTATTATTGACAAGTAGTGACCAATTTTTTCCCCTCAATAACCTTGGCTTTCCTCGATCGACTAGGAGAATGCAGAGACTCCGGCCTTATTAATGATACTACATATGAAGGCCTAATTTGATTACGTTGCACGACGCGCTTGTGCAGAAATATCTGCCTATATTTTAGATTGCATTCGGGTTACTACATTACCAAATTTCATTAGTGGTAACGAGAGAACCTTTTTTCATATCCAACATTAGGAAGGGCCAGTCTTGAAGCATGAAAATGGAGGCACAATTTAGGAAGAACAAGTCACTTCTGTGTGGGAGTGCGGGGCGTATGTGTCCCGCGCTGTTGTCCCCAAAGTGTTATGATACTAATTATGAGAAGATCTGACAAAAAAATTTGTAATGACCTCAATTCAACTAAATGGACAGTAGCAAATGTGTATTTTATGAAAAGAAGGAGCTTTGCAAGAAGGAGGACTGGGTGTCCCTTTTTTCGTTTTCCTTTTCGTTCCGACGAAAATTCAGTATCAAACAAGGGTTATATTAAACAAGAGGAAAGTGGAAGGTTAGGTAGTAGGGAGAAAAGTAGAAGAAATTAGGAAAAGATAGTTATCAGCTTTATATCTTCGGCAAGTCGGAAGGTATGTGAAATGGTCGGTGGGAAAGTTGAAGTTACGACGGTTGCCTGTATAGCTGTCGCTGTCATCGGAATGGGTGACCGAGTAATTTATCAAAATATAAAGAGGAACAATGAATAAATGAGTATTAAGAATGAGTAAAGAGATATGAACAAGATCATCACATCGTAAGAGGAGTAACTATGTAGTTTATTTTCGAGTTGTAGGCAAGAGACGATATGGAATGAAAACACTTATCAGCATTTTGTTCATTAACTTTGGAAGTGAGCGTTCTTTGTGTTGGTTCGACGTTCCCGATCATCGCTGGTTGCTTACGCGCTATCTCTATGTGTTCATTTGAAAAGATGAGTGATCGAGGAAGGGAATAAAAAAGTGCAGTGTAGCTTAGGAGATGGGATTGCAAAAGGAAGTAGCTTTTAAACGATTATGTTACACTTTAGTTAGTTTTTATTCGGAAGACGATTCGCCAGGTCCCGGAAAGGCCTTGAAACAAAGGTCCCGTCACAATGGACGCGGTAGGTACGGTATCGCACGAGTAAACCGATGACCTGTTACCGCAGTAGAACAAAAACCCTATCGCGTGTGACGGTACTGTCGCGTTATTTTGGAAGAAATCCATGACCAGAGAACATTAGACTGAATTTAGCGTGAAAAAAATGGTTGATAGAAGAAAAGAACAGGTTGAGAAGATTACCGCGCTACCAGGAATCTTCAATGCCACCTGCCATTTGAATTAGTATGTATGTTAGGGTTTGAGCATAACAATTTTGGAATCGATTATAAGCCTGTGTTTGAACCGAAGTTCCTGGTGCAGGCTTATAGGCCCGTACCAGTGATGATAAAAGAATGCTGCTTCGAAAGTCCTATTTTATCCTATCGGCTCACCTCGATCTTTCTTTCCTTCTTTCAAAATTTTAAAACTTCCAACTGAATGAACCGAAGAAATTGGCAAATCGGTAGATGGTCTGTTGAAGTGTTATCAAATTTGACATTTGTGTCCATCGCTAACTGTGATCGAAGATCGAGCGATTGGGAGCTCAACATATAGGTGTAGCGGGATATACTAATTGTAGGGTGGTCTAGAAGGTGTGCTGCTTTTATTGCTTCATAGATCAGCGTGTTTTGGTGAAATCGGATAATGGTTTAGTTGTTAGTCGATTTACGATTGTTTCGGAGTTTGATCGACCCCCAGTTTTGTCGATCAATTCGAAATTAGTATAATTTTGGAGCTCGCTGGAAGGTAACTGGGGATTTGCTTTTTATCGTACCACCGTAGGTCAGTGTATGATTCCTCCGAATATGGTATTCGATACGAAGTGGACTTTATTGGGATGTTATTGAGTAGGTGAAATGAAATCAGAGTTGAGCTAATGGGATTGTAGAATTGGTGGGGTGAAAGAAGAATCTTCAGTCACATCTGGAGGGTTCTCTGTTTGGGTGGAAGTGGGTGGTATGTATTGGCATTCTCAAACCGTGTCAGGCTAGACGGTTGGCAGGGACGCGGTCACCCTGTTGGGGTCACCACACGCTGTTGGGTGGGCGTGGGGTACCACTTTTCGATTTAGTTGACACGCGGGACGAGGGATATAGGCAAACGAAGTTTGAGACTTACTCTATCATCTCACATAAGGGTGTAAAACCAAGCACTAAAGGGACAGGCGGTGAAGAGGATCTGTGTGTGATCATAAGTCTAAGGTTAGAGTTGAGTTCGAACGTTCAGAAAAGTTGAAGTCTGCATTGATGAGCCCCCTTTAAGACCTTAGGATACGTCACGCTTATCATTTCCATCTCAAAGGTAGCGATATTTTTCGAGTGCGATGTGTACAATATAAAGCAGGGTGAAGTATCGGCGAAAAATTTTAGACCCGGGTGGCAGGATTTGCGTAGCGACCGGCCACCGGAGAGGTTGGAACCCGAAAGCGGACAGGTGTCCGTGAAATGACTTTAGTCAATGAAACATTGACAGAATTCGTTCCCGGCGTTCTCGTCGAGGTCTTTAATTAGGCTTCTCCTGCGGGAGTAGATAACTTACGAAGTTCTTTAAGTGGATGTGCTGTACCTTCCAAGGCGGGTATATTGGCTGACCAGGGTGAGCGTTTGCTTGGTAATATCGCAATTGTACGATCCAGGATGGACGCGAACTGTGAGAGGTCGTGTAACGGCATCGCCATACGCCGTGTATGCTATACGAAGTTATTACGTTTCTATCAATGAATTGCTTCCGCTCAAAAAGGCCTAGGCTTATCATTATTGCTTCCAGCACGATAAAAATTTAATAGGTCTTTTTCTTATTGTCTGATACACATGAAATCATCGATTACTATCCTTTTCGAAAGGGTGGCAGAGCATGGGTTGATAAACAAGAAAAAATATTTTGCTGCACTTTGTGTTGTGAAATCACAACACAAAGACATTCGTGTCATGGAAAATCTATTCTCAAGTATATAAGGAAGCATGTGAATTGCTTAATGTAAATGGACTCTGGAGTTCAAGTCTACTTTTGTTATCTGCGGAACGACTTCCTTACAGAAAGCTATGAAGCGCAGTGGTAGTAACCTTGACTCTAAGGCAGGAGGTCGCGGGATCGACTCCAGTATCCGTCAGTACTTCATTTCATTTTCAGAAATGAAGTTAGAAAGACATTAGACTCTCTGGAAGGCAAAAGTTTGGACTCGCATTGGAACTGCTCCCGTGACCTCTTGCCTGTGAATCTGGGTCGCTCCTGTGCCTTCCTGAACAGTTTTCTGAATCGTTCCGCAGATAACGAAAGCAGATCAAAACTCGGCGTCTCAGGCACGTATTTGAGTATTGTGAATTTTATGTCATTTCAATGTCATTGTAAATAGCCTGACTGACAAATGACCATTTCTTGTAAGCTCGATCGAAAGATAATATGGTCATCACTTTCCAATCCCTCTGAAGCACCCGACATTTGGGATTTGAGTTGCAAATCAAAGCCATGGACACATTAAAAGCGTAACAAATCTTGGATTAGACGTTATTTCGTCGTCTGCTACAGAATTGGCATCAATTAAACGGTTTGAAGAAACTTGAACAGTCTCGGACTGGTTCGAGCATTCGGTCTGCTTCGGTGTCCTAAAGATAATTCACGATTAGAACTGGAGGTCGAGGAAGAAGTAATTTACCTAGTTGAGGACCCACGGACCTCCTGAGGGTGCGAACTGATGCGCAATTCGCATCGAAAAATTTGACCTCGGCGACCTATTATGCCTCAAAGTTGGCGGGTCTGGCGATCTCCGCCCACCGACCAGCTGATCACTCGCCGCAGATCTATACGTGGCGATTGATTAGATAGCAGAGAGAGCGTGATGTTGAGGAGGGCACAGCGATAAGAGTCGCATCAATGCGCAAATCAGCGGGCAAAGGAAGGGGTCCCATTTCTCGGGTTCTGGGCCGTTTCTCATGGTTCTTCCTTCTTTCGTGTACCAATCAC